AATACTCTAGGAAATTGTTCAATTACTCTGATATTTATGACTCCACCTAATTTGGGATATTTGGAAAAATAACCAAAATTTAGACCATGAATAGAATAATAGCTACCCTTTTAAATTTATGATAATTATAACCAAAATTTGATATATCATTACTAATATACCCTTAATAACTAAAAACTAGCTTTTCTCATCTTGTGTGTGTCTCTCTCTCTCTCTAACTATACCAACCTCTCTCTCTCAAAGCAGAACTGCTTTCTCGCTAATCAGAAATTTTCTTCTGGTTTTGGGTTTTTCAGATTCTCTTGGCTTCTATTTGGTTGGTGGGAAAGGTAAGGAAATGAAAAGGATATTTCAGTGGTTTGTATTGAAATTTGAATGCTTGTGAATCTGATCCTGGTTGTTTTGTGGCTTACAATTTGATCCTGTTATTGTAATTCTGCTTAATTAAATTGGTTGTTGAATTGGTTTTTGAAAAATACTTGCATGATCAAAACTTAGGGGTGGGTTCGGTTTAAATCGGTTCGGTTTTTGCCAAAACAGAAACCAAACCGAAATTTCGGTTCGGTTCGGTTCATTTTTTTTCGGTTTTTTTTGTTCAGTTTTGGTTTTTTGTTTTTGTTTTTTTTCAAAAAATGAAACGCATTGAAATTTTAAATTTTAACATATCCAACACAATCATAACATAAGCATTCTAACTAGAATCAAAGACAAAGAAAATAAACATTTAAAGTTGAACTAAAATCATCAATCAAGTCTTCCGAAGTCCAAACTAACAACCTCACAACACAAAAATCGTACAAATGACTTAGAAAAGTTAAATTGTATGATGTTGTTCAAAGATCAGGGTTGTTTGCTTGTAACTGCATGTTGACAACTTGATTAGTAAAAGTAATGCGTGGGTGGATTTATTTAGTGTGTGTTGGATTCTTTTCCATCACAAATTACCCAAGTAATCTACCTGAAATAAATGTTTATGGATTCTGTTACATGTTATATGAGAGTAGATTTGGAAAAGAAAGCTGGGGCAGAAGTAGACAGTGCTATGGAGATGGATGTAGGTACTTCAGGAGGAGGTTTGGTTCCGGAACCTTATATGGAGGAGAAATAATAGGTTAGGGTTTAGAGTTTTTATAGGCATTTTTTTAATATTTTGAGCTTAAAGTTTGGCAACACATTGGGTTTAGCACATTTTAACTTACAAATTGGGTTTAGAAAATAATACCCAAAACAAATAATTAAATAAAAAAATTAATTTAATTAATTCGGTTCGGTTCGGTTTCTAGATCACTAAAACCGAACCGAACCAAATACCGAACCGAACCAAAAGAATTTGGTTCGGTTCGGTTTTTTTGGTTTCGGTTCGGTTTGGTTTTCGGTTTTTTTCGGTTTTCGGTTTTTTGAACCCACCCCTAATCAAAACTGGGTTTGAACAAATGATTGATCTATCATAATCTCCTGAAAATCTAATTGCTTTCGTACCAATATATGGGACTTTTATCTAATTGATATATCATATATATATATATAAAGTGAGAGCCTCAGTTTGGTGAAGCATTCTAAAATGCCAAGAATGACCCTTTGTTTCCTTCACAATCAAAATCCAAAAAAATGGAAAAATGAGGATAAATTGGTAAAAACACATAACTGAACAAAAAAACTGTTTTGAAAAAAAAGAAAACAAAAAGTAAATACGTTTCCTCTGCAGGATTCCCACAATCTGGATTGAGTTTAGTGGGACATTCCACAATAACTACCTACGCCCCCACTAATATTTAGAGATGAATAACCCCTAAAATAAAAAAATAAAATAAAAATAAAGGACAAAGTGGTAAAAAAAGGATAATTGAAAGAGAGAGAAAGCATTAAAACAGATGAGTTTTGCTGGATGAGGAATGAGAACCACGAACGTGGGATTCAAACAAACCCTCCACGTTCTGCGAACTAACAACCAAATCAAAGCCGATACCTTGTGTTGATGCACAAAACCGGAAGTCTTGGAACAATGTAAATCCGACCCTGAATCTGCAAGAAATGTAAATGATACAAGAAGTATCGTGGTTCACCCCAAGGTTTGGGCTACGTCCACACTGATATGTATTTATCTGTTTGTGAGGGAGAGAGATGGAGATAGCTTCTGAAGGTGAGAGAGCCTTTCCATGGCCTAGGAAATTGGCCTCATCTAATTGTGAGGGTGAGGGGTCCTTTTTTAAAATAAGGACTCCTCACTTATTACATATTTACCCCTTCCTTTATCACATAATTACATTTAAGTCCCCTGAGTATTTATACGAGGTCTAAATACGAGGCCTTAAATATGGTATAAACAGTAGTCCCTTAAGCCTTCAGTCAAGAGAGTCTTTTGGCTGGAGACTTGAAATTCAGTCCATGTGTGGGCCGAATTAACTAGATGTTGTCTTGAACTGATGCTCGATATAAGGCGGTGCTCAAAGTGAAATGATGCTCAACTATAAGTAGCACATGTTGCGAGGCTGCTCGGCTTGTGGCTTATGTTGCTTTGGTTGGCTCGGCTTGTGGCGCTTGAAGGTGAGGGGGTCCCTTTTATAGAATAAGAGCTCGCTCCTCAATACATAAATAATGGGTTAGGAGTGATGCTGGCGGCGAGGCGGTTGCTCAGCTGGCGGCGTTGCTCTCTAATGAAGGTGAGGGAGTCCCTTTTATAGAATAAGGGTTCGCTCCTCAATACATAAGTGATGGGTTATGAGTGATGTTCGGGGCGAGGCGGTTGCTCAGCTGGCGGCGTTGCTTTCTAATGAAGGTGAGGGATTCCCTTTTATAGAATGAGGGCTCGCTCCTCAATACATAAGTGATGGGTTAGAAGTGATGCTCGCGGCGAGGCGGTTGCTCAGCTGGCAGCGTTGCTCTCTAATGAAGGTGAGGGAGTCCCTTTTATAGAATAAGGGCTCGCTCCTTAATACATAAGTGATGGGTTAAGTTTCCCAAGTATTTTTCATGAGTGCTCTCTAATGAAAGTGAGGGAGTCCCTTTTATAGAATAAGGGCTCGCTCCTCAGTACATAGATAATGGGCTAAGTCCCCCAAGTATTTTTCATGAGGCCCAGTTGAGGCCCAATATATGGTACCTAATGTAGTCCCACAAGTCTTCGGTCAATAGAGTCTATTGGCTAGAGACTTCAAATTGAATCCATGTATGGTCCGAAGTGGCGGTTGTTCGGAGGCGGTATTTGTATACCCTATACTGAAGCTTTGTAGGTGAAGCTTTGCAAGTAAAACTTTGAAGCTAGAGCTCTGTAAATGATGCTTTTGAAGCTAGAGCTCTGTAAATGAAGCTTTTGAAGCTGATTGACATGAGTGATGCTCATGAATGTTTATGTTGATTGACATGAGTGATGCTCATGAATGTTAACATGAGTGATGGTCATGAATGTTTATGTATGATTGTCATGAGTAATGCTCATGAATGTTTATGTATGAATGACATGAGTAATGTTCATGTATAATTTGGAGTACTGGACGTACTTTTGATCACCTGGTTGGTGGCATGAAGGAGAGTACGGGTTGTACTTTTCATCCCCTGGTTGGTGGCATGAATGGCTAGTTGCCAAATGATATTAGAGTACGGGTTATACATTTCATCACCTGGTTGGTGGTAATAGCGGCAGGTTGCTGAATAATTTTGGAGTACTTGGCGTACTTTTGATCACCTGGTTGGTGATAATAGCGGCGAGTTGCCGAATAATTGTGGAGTACTAGGCGTACTTTTGATGACCTGGTTGGTGCTATTTCGGGCTTATGGGCCTTCGCCCTTTACACAACATTCTAGCCCATTTATTTTGGGCTTTGCCATTTTTTTTTATTTATTTATTTTACCCTATGATGGGGTTTATACATATTACCCTATGATGGGGTTTATACAGATGTTTCCGAAAGATAAGGAAAATAAATTACATCATTCAAAAATAAGGAAAGTAAATCACATAATTCTGATGGGGTTTTTATTCCTTGCTTTTGCTTTCTCTTTTGCTTTTGTTTTTCTGCTTTACTTTTGCTTTCCTGTTTTGCTTTTGCTTTCCCATGTGCTATTTTCTTTTCTGCTTTTGTCACTCCATTTCTTTGCCCACCCATGTTCCCCATCTTTTGATGCAATCCTTTAGGCACAATTTTTGACAATCTCCAAATCCTTAAAGTAAGATCATCAATGAAAGTAATCATTTTGTCTCCATTTTGTTGTCATGCATGTGCAGACACGCCGAAAGATCAAAAGGAAAGAGCAAATAATAACATCCATCACTGCAGCCATGAATCTTACCGTTTTTCAAGTACTGGGTGGGATCCACCACCGCCATCTCCGAAGAGCCTCCACCCTTTCCCGGAAAGTAGAGCAGATCTTCCTGTCAATGAGACAGCTCTTGATCTTGTTCCAGAAGGAGGTGCTGTCTTTGTTACTTTGTTCTTGACAGCAACTTTAGTCCCGTCACTGAGAATCCCTCTGATGGCGCAAAAGCCGCCGCTGAAACTCCTCAATAAATGGAGTGATAGACGGGTCTCAGGAATTGAGCAGCAGGACCTCATGGGCGGTGATGATGACCTTGATGTGCTCCAAGTTGATCACGATAGCTCGCTCTCGACCCAGCACCATAGACGGGTACGAAAGAAACGGATCCAGGATCCGAAGGTCCCGAACGGGTAGACCGGTCCGCCGCATGATAGCGTGCTTGTCGGCCTCTACAACCTGGGCTTACCCGCTGGAGTCCAAAAACAACCATGGCCTCACGCCAAGCCCCTTCTTCCCCAGCCCGCCGGCCATCGACATGCCGAGGCCGGGCATTGCGGGTCGGGTCGGGTCGGGTCAGAGTTGTCTTCCGCTGGGGCTGTGGCCGACTGGATGGGTGGTGACTAGGATGAGGGATTCTCATCACTGTGGTTAGGAATTGGGATTTGCAGGTCAACCTCTCCTGAATCCATCTCTGCTTTGTTAGAGTTGGGATGAATTGCTGTGTTCCAAGTTTTGCTCGTATGCATTTATATCTGAAAAAGAACCTTTTTCCCAGCTTCTCCCATAAGATAGCATTCAAATTTAACAGCTGTCTTGGGTAGCAAAACTCCTCCAATTGATTTCTGAGGGAGTTCATCAAGACGAATAAGCACTCTGTTAGCTTGCGGAACCACCTTGGCGGGTTCCCATTTCTGGGCAATTGCGTTGACTCTCATTGAATTTCTTCGCAGACCTGGGAGTAGCTTCTGGCTGTTGGACAGAGAAGCGGTGTTGGGTTTGTACAACAAAGGAGTTGGTAGTATGACGAAAGTGGAAGCCATAGCAGAGCTCGAAGAAAGATGGAGGGGTTTCAGTGGAGGTGTAGAGAGAGTGAAGAAATGTTGGGGATGGAAGAAGTGAGGGAAGATATCTTAAACCCTGGTGCCTGGAGCTGTGTGAGGTAAGGAGAGAGTTGTTGAACCGGCAGAGACCCGAACCCGACCCGGCATAGTGGAAACAAACTCAATCAGCACACCCACCAATAAAAGTAGCCCACGAAGCCAAGAAGAACCCAGTTGCCAGAAGCAGTTTCCAAAACTCCATTTTCCACTGTTTGGCTGATGGTAGTGAGGCTAATCAAGCAGTATTTGGAAATGTGAAATCTGGATAGGAAGGGACTGCTTTCTTGGATTTTTGTGATTTTGCAGATTCAAGGTGGAAGTGAAAAAATGAAAGAGAACCGACACAACTTTTCGTATCAATTCCCACAGACGGCGTCAAATGTTGATGCACAAAACCGGAGGTCTTGGTACAATGTAAATCCGACCGTGAATCTGCAAGAAATGTAAATAACACAAGAGTTATCGTGGTTCACCCCAAGGTTTGGGCTACGTCCACACTGATTGTATTTATCTAAGAGTATTTGTGAGGGAGAGAGTGTGAGAGCTTTGCTCTATATAGGAGAGGCTTAGTGTTTGTGAGGGTGAGGAGGTCCTTTTATATAATAAGGGCTCCTCCCCTAATTACATATTTTCCCATTCCTTTATTACATAATTACATTTAAGTCCCCTGAGTATTTATACGAGGTCTAAATACGAGGCCCTAAATATGGTATAAACACCTTGCTTTCAATTCCTATTCTTCCGCATCCTTCCCCTTTCACTCCCAGCACCATCTGCAATCCCTTTCTCTCTCGCTTTCTCTCTCTCTAAAATCTAAAATTAATTGACGGTGTGTTTTTGAATGCAGGGAAGAGGAATTCTCGGATTTAGTTTTGCGCGGGCAAAGTGTGGGCTTTGAGAGTGAGCTGAAGTTATCTAGCAATTCAATGGAATCAGAGAAGGAATTTCCAAAGTTGAACCAAAGCCTGTACCCAAATATTGAGCCGTAAGTTGTCTACAACGAATATTGAGCCGTAAGCTGTCTACAACGAATATTGAGCCGTAAGCTGTCTGCAGCACATTGCTTTTCTCTACCTCTTCCATATAATTAGGTTTACAAGTTGTTTTAGATATTCAGTTAATTTTGAAGCCATTGTCAATCTTTCCGGTGCAGAGTTTGATTTATCAATCATCTGCTATCTGCATAGAATTTCATCTTTTTTCCTTTCAATTTTGGGTCAAATGTTGGTAGCATGATTATAATCTTTCAGTTACAAGTGTTTTTTTCCTTTCAGTTGCTATATCTTTTGGCAGAGTATTTAACAGAAGTTCAATTTCAAGCAGTCACTTTTCTTGGACAGAATGTTGCGGAAAGAAATATTTGACAAACGAATTAGTTCCTTACTTAAATAAATAAATCGAGACGACGAGAACTTCATCACGCAAAACTGAATCATCTCATTCTTTTAGGTCTAAATTTTTTTACTTTTTTTCCTTCTCTTTTGTCTTCTTTTATCTATATATATATATATATATATATATATATATATATATATATATATATATATATATAAAGAAAGCCCAGTTTGGTGAAGCATTCTAAAATGCGAAGAATGACCCTTTGTTTCCTTCACAATCAAAATCCAAAAAAATCGAAAAATCTACTTTTGTCTCTTAGTATTTGATTTCTTTCCCCCCCCCCCCCTCCCCCTTCGTCTTTCATTTTAATTTCAGGTATAGGAAATCTATTGCAGGGAGCGGATGGAAAGAAGCACGACCCATCCTGTGAAAACTGGAGGAAGAGATAGGCAGAGCGGCATTTTGTTGCTTAGGATTCAACTACGTATGCTCTTTCTGAGTACTTTTTATGTTGGTTTTCTTCTTACTTTTATTATTTTCTTGGTAAATTGTTAACACGCTTTTGTAAACTGATAGATATGTTGATATATAATTTATGGAACTATTACGATTCCCTTAATTGAAGAATAATTCGTACTAGATATTAGAATTCCAGGGTATAATGAAATGGCCACTGCATGAGAATCTTTTATTTTTCATAATTAATTTTGTTAATTCAATATTTTCTTCTTAACATTCTATTTGGTTTTGGAGACTGCTTTTACAAAATTATGAGTTTTTTGTGTGTATAATAGTAAAAGAAGAGAGCCTTTGGAGGGTGCTCATATATAGGCTGCGATAAGGTAATTGTTTTCAGTTTACTAATAGTTATCATTTGGTGTTTTTTTTTTTTTTTTTTTTTTTTTTGAAAAGCCTTTTTCATTGTAGTTTTTTTGTTTATGTTTTTGCAGATTTATGAATAAGGTTGGGTATTTCTTGCTGGTGATTGTATGATTGAAGTCGGTTTCCTTTCTTCACCTTTATGCTGGGTAGTTGATTTTGGGGTACAAAATATTGTTTTCTTTAAGTGATCGGATCACATTTAAAGAATAATGTTTTTTTCTTCAGTATCTATTAATGTGGTAATTACTTCTTTTTTATTTTTATTTTTTTTAACATTCTAACAGAGTTTTGCTTGGATATCTACACAACACCAGGCCTAGATAGATCCATCATTAATGAGTGAATTGGACATCATGGCACTTATTATGCTCTAAATAGTTTAATTTTCAATTTTTGTATGTACATTTTAGCTTTAAAGTTTTTGTAGTTTAAGTTTTCGTTTTCATTAACTCTATAAGCTTAATTTCTTTCGTTTTAGGTGCTCAAAAACCGATTGAGAATGATGCAACCAGAGACAATTTGGGTACAAACTCAACTGCAAACGAAAAAATTGTTCAGGTATATGTCTTCCATTTGTGTTTTTAAGTGATTGCATTTAGAGTTCTAATATTTGGTTATTGGAACTTATTTAAAGTGCTATGTGCTTTATCTTCTTCTTCATTTTATAGCTTTATGAGTTCTTTATGCCTTCTTTTTATGTTCTTATTTCAGATTACTTTGTATATTTGGTTGTATTCTTAGAGGAATTTTCTTGCTTCACTCTTTGTACATATATACCATGGAACTAAAACGAAGTATGCCTATAGGCAGTTTGGTTTCAGTGCATTTTATCCATCAAAATAAGAAAAGAGAATAAGTAGTATGGAGTTTCTTTTTTCTTACGGACAAAATTTCAGTTGTGTATATTATGCTAATGCAGGAGAAGTTGCTTCTTTTTTTGGATGTTACTGGCGGGTGGAAATCAGACTATTTGTTCGAAGTGTCTACCGATTAGATTTGATTGCACAAAGATAATGTTGTTGCCGTACCTATTAATTTATTGTGTCATGCAACAGTATGCTTATAGATGTATGCTTCTATAAGCTATCAAAGCAAAGAGAAATTATCTTTTCTTGGTCCGTGTTAAATGAGTGTATATATGCAGCATGATTTTATTTTATTTGGAAATATACTACTATTGCATACCTATTTACCGATTTATTATCGGAGAAGAGTACAAAATATTGCAAAGTAACTTCTATTCAACGTTGTTCAACACAATAGTAGAATAAATTGTCTCTTAATATTGTATTTCTAAGTCTAATCCTAAGGTAAACCAAAAAAAAATTGCAAGAGCGCGTGTAGAAAGACTAAATGATTTGGTGTGTATTTGTCACAAAAAAAAAAATATTATGTGCAATTCTCTCCCCTTTTGGTTCTTTTATACTGAGTCACTGACATATTTCTTGGTTACATGGTTGTGCTTACTACTTCTCAACAGAAGGAAAAAAAACACACGATGAAGTTATATATTAAAAAAAATAGGAGGAAAGATGGGTGTTGGCCTCTCACAAATTCAAAATCAAAAACTTCGAAATGGCCCTCACATTAAAATATAAATAAGCACTTACGAAATAAGGAAACAAATTAAGCAGCACATTTTCAGGGGCACGCATAGCGTCCGTGATAAAAAAAATATCTCTCGCATGCGCAATACATTAAACATATATCTTGACAATTACAATGAAAAATAACTAACTTGAGACATCTTTAGCAATGAGATCTTATTTATTTTCAGTAATCACTTAGGATATATAAGAAGTAACACATCTCTGTGGTGTGTAGCGCCCGTGATGCAAAAAAGCCTCTAGCATGCGCGTGAACGAGTGCAGAGAGGCTAGTGTTTACATTATGTTGACAGCATCTTGGTCAATTTCAGCTCGCAATTCCAGTGAGTTAGTGGACATTCGAATGCTGAACTAAGTTTGCAAATTTTTTTTGTTGAGCAAACGATATTTATCTACACTAAAGAGAGAGAGAGGGGTTTCTAGATTTTGGAGGAGGAGCTCTGTAAGAGTAGAACCTCTGGCGTGTAGTTCCTTTATATGAGGAAGTTTTTATTCATTAATGATATATTAATAATTTTATATTAACTTTTAATTATAATTATCATAAAATTAAAAGGATGGCCATAATCCAGGGTCCAAATTTTGCTTATTTTTCTAAATTTCCCACCTAATTTTGGTTGTGTATAGTTTCACTTCATCTTCCACTTGCTAATTAACTATCCAAATCAGTGGGGGCAATTTTGTTGATGGTGTTTGATATTTTTTTGTGTTGAATTATCCGAGAGACGGATCAAAAGCCCATTTCTAAACAACGATATTGTCCACAATTTGATAATTATATAATTATTACTTGCACAATCCGTCAGGTGTTGAGTTTTATCACAAAAGATTTTGGTATTAGTAAGAGTAAGAGTAAAATATAAAGTCTTCTTTTTCCATCTTCCGCTTTCTAATCAACTTTGTGTGAGCTGCTTCTCAAACAAGTCTAGGACACAAACCCCATTAAGTTATAAAAGAGTGGTTGAGCTGCTTCTCGAACAATAACAACCACATTGCCTGCTTGTCTACTCGTTGTCTGGAACATCTGCAAGCTTATTGTTCTCAAAGTAATCTTTTACTTTTTCTACAAATTTATCGATTCGATCCTATTTCCTAGTGCCTTCGAAATTGTCA